AACAGTGTCGCCACTTGCTGGCTCTTCCTCTCCAGTCCCACACTGCCCAAACCTGGGATAAAAGCACGCCTGGCTCCTCAGGCTATACTATGGGTCAAGTAGGGGCTCATCACATATCTCTGCCAGACATGGCACCCTAAGTCTAGTTCCTCTCCCTTCTCTTGGGAAGTTGCTGGCAGAGATATCCTGACAGGCATCCTGCCTGCTAACAGGGAGACCTAGAAGTCATCTCACACAGGGAGGAGTGGGCAAGTGTAAGCTAGGCCGCCCCAGACAGGAGCCCTGCTGGCCACACCGGCTCTGTCCAGATCTGGGCAGTCTAGCCAGCTCAGGTGTAGGATGACTGAGGCCCTAAGTGACTACACTGTGCTCCACACAGGCCTGTGGCAATAATCTGCCATTGTGCCCCTCTCAAATACCAGGGACCACCCCAGAGTCTCCTCAGATGGACAGAATCTAGACAATCCATATGCTTGGACAATTTCCAAATGGTGTCTGTTCATGCCAAGGAGACAGGACAGTGGGAAGAGTGGGAGAGGGCCCTCTGAGTCTTCAGGCCCTGAGTGGTCCTAACCTCCCCTAAGTTTGGATGACCCTCACAGGCTGGCCCACAAAGCAGACTGCAGGCCACAGGGTAGCACCACACCAGGCAGGGCTTGTATGACATCTAGACAGCAGCATTTGGTAACAACTAAACATCTGCCAGGGGTAGAGAGGAGTGAGGCTTGCCATCAGGGCCTGCAGAAGGGCAGTGGACAGGGTATTGGGTCAGTAACTCCCGTGGGACAGGACGGGGAGGCTGGCTGAGGCTGCTTTGTCCCATTCTCCAGCCTGCCTACCATAGGAGCCTCCCTGAGCTGGCGTGACCTTGCCCCCAACCACACCTCAGTAACCGTTCCTGGATGGCGAGGCGGCAGCAGCAGGCCTATCTTGGGGACTGTGGGACAGGCTGGGGGTGCAGGGCATCATATCTGCCTCCTGGTACCTGTGAACGGATAGGCCTGGAGAGCAGACCCCGAGTCTCCCAAGTCCATAATGGCAAGCCCAGACCCCCTGCCAGGACTACTGTGGTGCCCGAGGCAGCCCTTTGCTCCTAGGTTCAATGTAGATGTTATATAAACACCACCCTACCTGGAGCCTTGAGAGCTCAGATAAACTTCCTGTGCCACAGAAGGATGAGGTGGGGGTGAGGAATGGGGACGTTGCTCCGTAGTCTCAGCTATGTTAGATCCAGGACTGGGGCCCTGCATGGGTGTTGACCTCCTGCTCATGGAAGCAATGGCCCCTGACACATCTAAGGCAGACAGCTCACAATTTCCCTGGCTTAGGGAACAGTGGCCCTAGCATGTGTGCATGTGTGTTCACAGGTATGTTCCATTCCTGGGGGGCGCTTACCAGCAGCCCCAGGGGAACTGTGCTGGGTGTCTTCTGGCTGACCTTTTTTGCTGCTCTCCCTCTAGCACAGCATACGGCTCCCAAGTGCCCCTTGGCAGTATGGCAGGTTAACCAAAAAGGCTGGGAACAAGTTCCTCTGCCCACTGCCCTGCTGCAGAAGTCTTGGGCAACCCCCGTGAATTAAGATAGATGCAGCAGGCATCCTGCTGGTGGAAACAAACAGGCAAGTCCCGCCAAGGATGGGGCTCTGAACACAGCAAAGTACCCTGCCACAGAGCCTCTCAAAACACTGACAACCAAGATCAGGACACGAGTTGGGGGACATGGCTGGCTCAAGGCACAGCGGGGTAGGGTTGAGAGGGTATTGCCTTAGGTGTTTTTTTTGGGGGGGGGCGGGTGTTTGGGTTTTTTTTTTTTTTTTTTTTTTTTTTTTGATGGCAGATTGCTAGGACAGCTTACAGGAAGTGAAACCTTGAGTGAGGGAGGATTCTTGTCTTCTCCTTTGGAAAAGGCCTTTCAGAAGGGGAGAGGAATATCTCTGGTGCACAGAGGGGATCAGGGAAAGGGTGAAACTGGTGGCATTTAGGGGCAATGGTCTGCTTACAAGGAGATATGTAGATCAGGCTGGCCTTGAACTCACAGAGATCTGCCTGCCTCTGCCTCCCAAGCACTGGGATTAAAGGCGTGCGCCACCATGCCCGGAGGGGTTGGGGTTTTTAAGAGTTTGTTTTTATTTTATGTTTGGGAATGTTTTGACTGCACCCTGCTCACGTAGGCCAGAAGAGGGAGTCAGATTCCCTATAACTGGAGTTATAGGCAGTAACTCCCATGTGGGTGCTTGGAATTGAACCTAGGCCCTCTGCAAAAGAGGCCAGTGCTCTTAACTGCTGAGCCATCTCTCCAACTCAGGTTTGGTGTCTTTTGTTTGTTTTTTTGAGACAGGTCTCACTGTGTAGCCCTGGCTGACCTTGAACTCGATATGTAGACCAGGCTGGCTCCAACTCACAAAGAGCTGCTTGCCCCCACCTCCTGAGTACTGGGATTAAAGGTGTGCACTACCATACCCAGATTCAGGGAGGTGTTTTAAGACAGGGTCTCCTGTATCCAAGCTCAAATTCCCTATATAGCCAAAGATGACCTTGAACTTCTGAGCCTCCTGTCACCACCTCCTGAGAGTTAAATTACAGGACCAGATCATCATGCCCAGTTTTAAAGAGGGTGCTGTTTTGATCTGCACAGTGAGCAGATCACACTGGGAGCTTCAAGCAGAGGCAGAGTCCCTGCTGCCATTAATATCTCGGAACACACAGTAAGTAGTGGACTTCAGGGCCCTGAGGTATTCTGGTCAGCCCCCTTACTTGGAGTAGAAAACTGAGGCCTAAGAGGAAATTCATTGTAGGGGCACTGAGAACAGTCCAGAGCTCAAACTTAGGCATCCTGAGGGAGCACGAGGCAATGGGTCACCAGCTCTCAGGGTGGTGGGTGTGAGGATGTCCCCAGATGAAGCCAGGCACAGGGCACACAGGGAGTCCAAAGTCCATGGGAGCCAGGCCCTGCCTTTACCTGCTCACCCCAGGACTCCCTCCCCCAGCACTCCCAGTGATGTGGCGACATCACCGCCAATAACCTAGATTTTAACCAAGAAACAACACACCCCTTTCTCTGCCCCACTTACAGGCCTGCTGAAGAGAAAGCCACAAGGAAACCCAGACTGTTGCATGGGGGCCAAGAGAGCAGGGTTGGCCCCACAGCCTGACCAGTGTTCTAGGACAGCTTTTTGTCACCAAATGGATGAGGCAGGGCACCCCCCTGATACCCAAGGCACGAACCAGCCCATGTAGAACAGCCTTGGGGAGGGGGGTCCTGGTCCCACAGCCCCCAAGCTCTGTGCCCTATCTGAGAGCTGGAGTGAGGGACTGGTCTGACTGACTGTAGGTGGCTTAAAGCAGAGTTGAGCCTCCTGTTCCCATCCCACACATGCAGTAGGCTCTGCAAAACCTTTCAAGGCCACTGTTCCACTGGAAAACCTGTTGAAGCAAGTGGGCTGTTCCTGCAGGTGGGGTAAGGGCTCTGGCAATTGAGTCTCACAAGCTATCAGATACACTCTGCTGACAAGCCATGGCCAAAGTCCTACTGGAGAGGTAGGAGCTGTGCAGGGTGACCCCCGAGAGGGTGGGTGGAGACTGGGGTCCCCTCCCGGCTCATTTCAAGCCCACTGAAAGTCACCTGCCCTCAGCCTGTACCTGACCCACTTCAGGGCTGTGTTCAGCCACCAGCATGGGATGATAGAGTCCTCAGGGATTGAAAAGCCACACAGTTAGCAAGAGTTAAGTACAGCCTAGGGACAGTCCCTGCCCTATCAAAACCCCCAAGCCTTGGGGTCCTTGAAACAAAGAGTCTTGAGTCCTTCAATGACCCACCTGGCTGGTTATCAGGAGGGAAAGAAGATGCCACCCACTGGTGGATTCCCTGGTCAACCTAGTCAGTGTGATGGTGGGCACGTACCTTACCATCAGGAAAACAAAACAAAACAAAACAAAACAAAACAAAACAAAACAAAAAAACAGCCCTAACCCTTCACCATGAAAAAGAAATAGAAGCTATCTGCTTAGACCCAAGAGGGCTGGAGCCCCCATTTCAGAGCACCTGTGTAAGAGTACCATGTTCATTTAAACTTGAGGGTAAAAGCCATGGAGCCCAGGCCAGGAAGGGAAGACAGCTGGGGTATGGACAGCCAAGCTAGAAGATGAGACCCCACCATCCAGCCTATGGCTATAGCTGCTCCAAAGGGACCTGGCTTTTCCAAGGCCTAAGCTGGGCAGTATTCCTGGCTCCTTTTACCCCCACAATGACAGACTCAGGAAGAGCAGAGGCATGTCTCATCAAGATAAGGGACGATGTGTGGGCAGGTGAGGGAAAGTTCCCACAATGACCCTAAGTGCTTGGGTCTAGGCCACCACACAGGGCCATGCATCGAAGGCAGGTGGCCCCAGTGCACAGGAACTTTGGAGGGGGCACAAGATCTTGAGCACCAGTGATCTCTTTCCAGTGAGCCCCCAAAATATATCAAGAGCGTCTTCCAGTCAGTCATGACCTGCACCTCACATGTCCCAAAGGGGAGCAGCCCTTAACAAGAGTACCTGGGGGTTCTCACTGTACCCACAGGACAGTGGCAAGGGACAGAGATTAAGGACAGCAGCCTCGTGAGGGTCAGAGAGCTACAACTACCAGGGGACAGAGGCCAGACCTGTAGGACACCATGCACTTCATAGACAAGGGGTCTGAGCCTTTGAGAAGGAGGTGAGTGCAACTAGACCCTTAGTTTCACCATCTGTCCAGTGCCATGCCCTCTGCACAGTATACTTTAGCTCTGGCAGAGGCAGGTGGCTATCACCTCACACAGTATCTGAGCTCTGTGATGACTGGCTTCTGCTGGCCAGCTCACGGGGGTCTGAGGTCTTACCACCTCCTCCAGCTCATACCCCTCACCTGCAGCACAGTGACCAGCCCATAGCTAGGCTGTGATCATTAGGAAGGCCAACTGTGTACCACGGCCTCTGTGCACTGGCTATGAGGACCACATGGCACCTGGTCCCACGTGTTACCTGCATAGCTGCCCGTGGCCTTGATGTACATCTGGCCGTATTGTTCTTCCACCATGGTGTCATAGGCCTCATCATCCTCCTCGTCCTCCTCATTGTGATAGGAAGTGGGGCTGTCGGTGGTGGGCAGGCTGCTGGCCCCAGGACTGGTCCGCTCCCCCTGGGGGTAGGGCACCTGCTGGATGCTGGGGATGAGAGTGGCCAGGCTGGGCACTCCATAGTAGGAGACTCGGGGCAGCTTGAGAGGGGCTGCGCCAGGCGTCCCCGCAGCACCTGTGGCCATCGCCACCCCATCTCGAGAGCCTGTCTCCAGTGGGCGCTTGGGAGCCAGGCCCGGACCAGTGGCCGGGGGCATCTCCATGGCTTCATGCTTTACACGGGTCAGAAGCGGGATGGGCACAGAAGGGGATGCGACATAGGTAGCAGTGGCTGGTTGCAGCTGGTTGCAGGGACTCTGAGGCTCAGAGCTGGCATCCTCGATCATGGCGGTCTGTGAGTCGCAGTGGGGCGAGCTCACCTTGAACATGAGGTCTGTGCCACGCTCCACGATATGCTGGATCTGCAGGAAGCCGGCAGTGTACATGACCACAAGCTGTTCACTAGCTGCCATGGTGAGCTTGCCTGTGTAGCAGAAGGACAGGATCTGCTGGAAGCAGGCGGGCGGCACAGTGCCGGGCAGCTCAAACGCACTCTTGCTGTTGCCGCTGAATAGGTCTCGGAAGTAGAGGCTGCTGGCCGCCAGGACGGCCCGGTGGGCCTTGAAGGCCTGGCCCTTGACCACAATGGACACATCACAGTAGAGGCCGAGCAGGCGTTGCTCATTGAGGCAGCCAAGCACGGTGTTCCCAAAGTTGGGAATCTCGATGTGTAGCATCTGAGACATGGCGGTGGTGTGGTGAGCAGGCCTCAGACTCAGCGAGGGACAGCTCGGATGGGGCACATCTGTGGGGAGGAATACACAATGTGGTCAAGATACTCCCTGTTCAGCAGCCTGTTCCCAACCCCTGTACAGAGTAAGGACTGTGCCCATCCCAGCTAGAACAACCCTCCAACCCCAGAAAGGCTCTGGGTGTCCTCAGACTCATGGTCATGGTTGGAGGGCAGGATTGAGTGGTCCCCGAACAGGCTCCAGCACCCTCCACACCCACAGTATCCTGCTCTGCTTCACAAGACTGACGGCGGGGCTGCGGTTGCCCATTTCCGCAGAGGACACAGGGTAGAGACCTGAACCCTGCCAGAACACAAGAGTGAGCCGGCCAGTAGTCACCCTCTGTCTGGAATGGGGAGGTGGGGGGTCAAGCCTTGAATAGATCTCAGCAACTCCACTCCAGGGGGAAAAAGTTCCCTGAGCCCCTCACCCTGCAGCCTTCCTCTCTGGAGGGCCACCTAGAATCCAGCAGGGAGGTCTTTTGGAGGTGTTTAATTTCAGGTTTGTTTTTTCTTCTTTCCGGGATGAGCATCTTCAAGGTTGGGGCACTGCTGAGTGGCTACCCCCTCCCATAGCCCTTGCTCAGCCTCAAGCCTTCAGCCTGAGAGGACTAGGCACCAGGGAGGTGGGCTGAGCTGGAGAACTCGCTCGGAAAGCGACTTCTGTCAGCTAGTGCAGGGGCTCCGATGCCCTCTGCTCCCCGTGGCTCCCAAGACGGACAGACGGAGACCCAGGTCCTGAGCGCGCCCTGGGGGCATGCTGCACCGGGCCGAAGGCGGAAACAGGAGTTGGCGCTTGTCGCAGCCCAGCGCACAGGCGCCCTCCCTCCGCCCCACTTCCAACGGCGGCCAATCCCTGCTGGCTGGGTCTCAGCCCAGGTAACTGGAAGGGTCTCGGGACCGTGCAGCCCGGGGGATGGGGGCGGGCAGGCGGCCACTATTTGGCCCTGCACTCTGCTGCTGGCCGTGGGGTGGCCGGAGGAGGCACAGGCCCTGGCCCAACTCTGCAGGGCCGCACAAAGGCCCGCTGTGTCCTGGGGGGAGGAAAGTGCAGGCGGCCGCAGAGGCGCCGGGGTGGCCGGGGGAGGAGGGCGGAGCCACCCCGCGCCCGGAGTTGGGCAGGTGGGCGCGCGCCGGGCAGCCCCGCAGTGCCCCCCGCTGCGGAGAAGTTGCCGTCCGGGCAGCGGCCCGGGGGGTGGGGAGGGGGACACCTACCTTTAGCGGCTGCCGGCCACTCAGCCAGGCAGCGAGGCTCCCTGCAGGCTGGCCGGCCAGCTGCTCCGGGAATGCAGCAAGGAGAGCCCGAGGTGGGGAGGGCGCGAGGAGCCCGGCGAGGGGAGGGGTGGGGGTGGCCAGCGCTGGGCGCCGGGCTCAGCGGCCGCAGCTCAGCTGCACCCAGGCCGGCTCTCCCCGGGCAGCGCGCAGCATCTCAATGAAGCAGCCGGATGCAGACGAACATCCAGGCAGCTCTTGGGAATGAATAGCCGCCTTTGATTTGGGAGCTGAAGTAAATGCCAGCTCCCAGCCCCGGCTTTAAAAACAGTGGCGCGTTGGTGCCAGAGGAATGCACGGCTCCGGGTGTTGGTGCAAGACAGACTTTTGATGACTCACTGCAATGCAAACAAAGATGGCAGAAATACTGTACTGTACGTGGAGAAATGCTTCGTGGTGCCACGGCAACTCAGACAGCTTGGAAATTTATAGTGCAGTTTTGCATATGAATTACCCAGTAAACTGCCTCCCTGCCATCCTGTACAGACCCAGTGTCAGAGCATTTAAACTATTCCAAACAGTCTGCAGGGCTGGCAGAGCCGCTGGCTTAACTCTTCCTGGGGGGAGGGAGTCTGGGAAAAGGGCACTGGGCAGGGGACTAGGGAGCAGAGATAGGATGAAGGTACCAGGGTGAGGAAAGGGGGGCAGGAAGTGGGGGGGCAGGAAGGAGATGACCAAAGAAACCCCCAAAAAGAGACCCCCAAAGAGACAGAGTTCAACCAGAGGAAAAGGGAGGGGCAGGAAGGAAATTGCCAAGGGGTCCCAAAGAGGCTCGAACTGGGAAGGGTCAGGGCCCTGAAGCCGCCCTCCCCTTCTCCTTCTGACCTCTGGGCCATAGTCTCCTGTCTGGCCATAGGCTCCAGAACACAGACCTAGTAAGTTCAGAACCACCCCCTCACTGATTCCCTGCCTTCTCATCCCTGACTGGCTCTTTAAAAAATGAGCAACTTCGTGGCCAGTCCTAGTTCTCCCCACAGAGGCAGAGGGCAGGGTGGCATGTCCTTGCAAGCTTATATACCACTTGCTGAACAGTAAGGGCCCTGGGGCAAACCACTGGAAAGCCTGCCTCAATTGCTTCACCTGTCACCAACCGTGGTGCCAGAAAGAATATATTCTACCTGCAAGAACGGACAGGGTCCAGTCTGACAACAGTGAGCTCTATGCTGCTCCAGGCTGAGTGGCCACTACCATCAAGGTGACACAGGCTGGGAGGAGATGGTAGCATCAACTGGTCCCTCGCTCCCAGAGTCCCCTCCAAGGCATCCAGAGAACAAAAAGGAGCCATCTGGCTCCTCCCTGTTTACATGTTGTGGACTCTAGACAAAAAGCAGCTGAACAGGGCCCCCAGGGACAAAATCTAGGTATGGAAGGAAGGCATCAGCAAGCCTAGACTGCAGGGCCCTCCAAGGCTTTGTCCTTCTAAGGGAAGTGATAACAACCCTCAGAGGGTGACTGACTGTGAGAGCGCACTGGGACGTGTGTACGTGTGCGTGTGTGTGTGCGCGCGCGCGCGCGTGTGTGTGTGTGTGTGTGTGTGTGTGTGTGTGTGTCAGCCTTACGGAAGGGCTGTTCTCCACAAGGCCAGGAGGGCTCAGTGGGGTCACCTTCTGAGCCACACCTCCTAGCAACAGACCCTCCACCTAATGGATGCTTTCTTCTAGAAGTCTAACAAGCAGCCCTCATGAATCCAACAGTCATGTGTAGGGCTAGATTGTGTCCAGGGCCATGTGGGTCACTGACTGATTACTGAACCTGGCTGGAGAGGGCTGTGCTACCCAGAGATGCACACAACAGAAGAGAGGGACAGAAAAGTTCCCTTTCCAGATCTACAGCTTCCACCACAGGGGGCCTCTCAGAGAGCCACAGCAGCCGCTGCAGACAACCTCAACCAAATGGAGGCTCTCCTGTAGTTTGGCCAGTAAGACAGAAGCAAGCAAAAGCCCGGCTCTAGGGAGTCCCAACATCTAGGGTTGGCTAGGCCAGCCAGCAACCAGATACAAGGGAGCAGGACACAGGGTCCTAAGACCCTCCAAATCCTAGGTCCTGTCAATACCAGCCACCCTTAGGACCTACAGCCTCAGATGTCAGTTGTAAGCTGGAGGTGGACCTTGGGATAGCTACTGAGGACAGGATGCAATGAGATTTGTAAAGCCTGCAGCTCAGGCCTACCACAGCATAGACCAGTGATGTCTATAATTTGCTGTGACCAGAGCCAAGTGGGGGCATTTGTGTCCATACCTCAGGGGCCGGTGCCCAGGACTGGGGCCAGACCAGCTCATCCAGAGAAGGGGCTATTATTCCCACAGAAGGTGACAAGGCCAACTTGGTCCCCAGGGACAGAGGACAACTGGTACATTTATCTGTTACCGTGTCCTCAGGCCACCTGTGCTGGCAAGGCCACTGCCTGCGCCTGCCTAGCTTGCGAGAACCAGACCGGAGCTGGTTTTAGGTTGCTTTCTTAGAAGCCTTGGCTGAGGTAAGAACAAAGCTGAACTTTAGGAGAAAAGAATCAAATAAAGGCTTGGCTTACGCTCCCAGGACAGTGGAAAGTCGTGGAAATCGGGACAAGCCAAGGCTGACCCAAGGGGCTATGGTTGGGGGATTGAGGGGACCTTGTGTCTAAGTGGGGAGAAGCATAGCCATGTGCCCGGGGGGACAGGGGAGGATAGAGCCTGACTCCTGGGCCACCAGGGCCTGCTCCCCACTCCTTACCCCAACCTTATAGAGTGGTATCCAGCCATGCTGTGACCTCCTGGCTCTTCTGTGACTCAGTTTCCCCATTTCCTTCCTTGCCAAGCAGGGTCACCCATTTGGCTTCCCCTCCATGATGAGCTCTGTTATACTCATTTGCTTACAGAAATTGCTAGAGGCAAGCAGTAAAGTGCTAGTCTCTCACTCTGTTGCGCCATCCAGCCTTACAGCGTTTGCTCTGAGGAACTGACTCATCATAACGCCTTTCAGAATGGAACCTTCTTTGGGAAAACCATGAAAACCACCAAAGCCGATTCTAAGCCCCACTTGCTGTGCTCACCTTGGGTACTCTTGCCCCCGACAGATGCACATAGTGGAGGTTCCTGGAATCCCCAGACTTCCCCAGAATAGAGATGAGTGGGGTCTTTGTAGAAAACTCCCCAGGCGAGGCCTTGAAAGCCCCAAGGCTCACAGGTGGATGTGGAAAGGAAACTGATGAAGGGGACAATGTCCGCAGAGACGGAGTATCGAAGATACACCCAGACGATGTGCACACAGGGGCCAGGCAGCGTCTTGCCAGAATTCAGTGTCTAGGAAGAAGGGACACCCTGCCAGAATTCAGTTCCCAGGCAGGATTCAACTGAGGACACATTTCCAGACACACAGGACTCCAGGTGTATCCAGGTCTTAGACACACACTCTGGGAGGCAGGACTCCAACAGACACAAGACTACTCCAGAGTATCCCCAGGGTCTACCTTTCCAGACTCCCAACCCCATCTCAGCTCTAGGGCCTATGGGTCCTGTCTAGAATCTGGCAGAAATTCACTTACGCTACCTAGGATTCTAGTTACTTGCTAAACAAGGGCACAGTACTGGGAAGGATGGTGCTGCAGGATCACTACCAGCAAGGAAGAGGGAGGACAGAGAAATGAAATAAAATTGTTTCCCAGGATTTAATTTTGTCTGTTTAATAAGAAGCCCTGGACCTCAGCAAACACATCTATCACACAGTTGCCAAGGGAGGATGCCACTGCATAGAGACACTCTGGAAAAAAAAAGCCCCTCCCCAGGCAGCCCCGCCCATCCCAGCTGGGTCAGAGGCCTCAACCCCAAGAGGGGCTGCAGATGGAGGGTGTCAGAGGGCACAGGCAGGAACATGCTGGGTCCAGGAACACAGCCTGGCAAGGGATGACGCCTGAGGATGGTGCCTACAGAGAAACTCAATCACAGTGTGGGCTGGGGGAGAGTCTGTTTCTGTCTGGATTCCTCCCAACAGGTGCCTAGGTCTGCCACTACCAGAGGACAACAGGGTGAACAGGAGCCTCGGTTAGCCAGCCAAGAGTCCTGGCTACTTGCTTGTGCGTGTCCAGGTCTCCAGGAGCTGGGTGAGGCACTGGGACGGCCCTGAGGTTTGCATTAAACTTTTAAGACAGCATTGGCCAAAGCTTCACTGGTCCGGGCATTGCTAATGGAATGACCAGCATCCCACACAAGGACCCAGGCAAGCGGAAGCAGGAGCTACAGGATGTGGTCTAGGCTGCCAAGGCCCCTTCCTACAGTCCCCAGCATATGCAAATGTTGTTTGCTCGCCCATCTCCACCCCCAGGTGGTGCAGACAAGAAAACTGAACTCCCAGAGTAGAGAGCTACTGGCTCTGGGCCTGAGCCCTGAACTCTTGCTGGCTCTGGGCCTGAGCCCTGAACTGACTGTCAAGCTCCCCTGGCCTCCTGCTTTTGACATCCAGGGTCATGGGGTCTTTGGTCATCAAATGACAGGAACAAGGTAAAGACCAGACCCGCTGAACAGAACTGGCCTGTCGTCCCTGGGCTCTGCCACAGAAGTCAAGTACAGTTCAGCTTCCATACCTGGAGAGAAGAAAGGGGGCTCCGGGGCCTCCCCAAGCTCTAGGCACAGGAGAGGCGGCTGATGGCTACCCTTCGACCACACTTCTAGAATTAAGGAAGACCCACACAGGATGGCTGAGTTGAGGCTCTCCTGCTGCAGACAGGGAGCAGCCTCTGCCCCAGAACACAGGCCAGGGCTAGCATCAGCCATAAAAGCTGGTTTTAACTGCACTACCAAATGTTTGCCTGGAAGCAGCTTCTTCTCCCCCCTCTCCCAAAGAAGGGAGACATGCCAGAATCCACAAATTCAGAATTTGGCTTGTCAATCTTTTTCCCCTTACGGGCCCTTGCTGGTCCTTCCGGGGGCGGGGGGGGGGGTGTCAAGAACCTGTGACCACCCAGCACGAGTCCTCTAGGCAACACAACCGCCCATGCCCAAAGACTACAATGATAGTCTGTATTACTCCCACTCAGGATGGCTAGTCTTGTATCTGACAGCTTTGGGAGGTCAGGACTACTGAGAATTCAGTCCAGAGGTTGGTATGGCTCAGCCGAAACTCCTGCCCACAGGGATCACACAAGCAGGTGGCACCTTCCAATAGCCACAGCTCACCTGAGACCCGCTAGGCTGTGTCCTTGCAAACAAACACTGACTTTTACACTGTAGGGGTTGGAGCAAACAAAACATTGTGCCTATAAAATTGGTAAGTCAGAGATGGGGAGGTCAGTGCACTGGGAATGGTCCTCCATAAGCCCACAACCCTCC